CACGGGAATTCAAGGGCCAGAGCTCCAAGTGAATATTTGAGAGAGATATAATTTGAAAAAAAAATCATTATCGGCCTCTATCCTTGACTTCCTCTCATGTCCTAGAGATTTTTAACCTTTGCAATAATAGCCCATACGACGTATTGCAAACTAGACGTTTTGTTTTTTTAACGACTGGAAAGAACTTTCAAGTTCGAACATAATGGTGAAAAAAGAAATTAAAAATAATTTGATATTTTATTTATTGCTCATTCTCAGAGGGTTTCCACGGTCACTCCACGGATCGGACGAAAAATTAAGATTGATACGTAGCTTTATTGGATATATTGAGCTATTAGTAAAATTTGATCCTTTCCTCGCCCAACATTTGATAACTCATGGAAATAAAGGAAGGGTTTGTATCTCATACTTATCTAAAAACATTTGCGAAGAACTCATTCACTTAATTATAGGTTATAGAATTTACAGGTTATATGATATCCTTAAGAATAGAATTTACAGGTTATATGATATCCTTAATGTGTTATAATATTTTTTATTTACTTCAAACATAATTTCTTAGTTAGCGAAATCAAATTTGAAAAATATTTCTCAATCATTGTTGATTCTGCTCCCGATGTACAAAACGGAAAACCAGTTGAGCGGTTTTTAGCATTCACTCCCATGCATAATCATTTTGCAAGTTCCATGCTTGAAATCGTTTTGAAAAAGTTAGATTAGTATGCGATCAACATTCAAAATGGCTGTGGCATGTCATACGACAATGATAGTAATATGTCTGGAATCTACTTTGGTTTACAAGCAAGAATTATAGGCACCAACGTTCTCATTAAATACATTTCGTGTGCTGCTCACTATTTGAGCCTCGTAGGAGTGAGTGCGCGGAATCCAACGGAGCTGCTGTTAATTTCTTAAGCTTTCTTTAAGAAATTTATAACTTCTTTTCTGCATCAACGCATCAATGTCTTAAATTCAAAGTTCTTTGCGTCAACGCATCAACGCATTTTAAAAGTCAAAGTTTCTTGCTGTAATACGTGTCAAGGTTCCCTAGCCTCACTCGCAAACTCGTTGGTCAGCTCGTGCTGATGCTTGTTTAGCAATTGAAAAGAATTCCATCGACCTAAAATATATCATATCTGCATTTACAAGCATAAAATGCAGACGAAAGGTATTTTAAAACCTATACTAAACGCAACGTGTTTTTAATAATAAATAACGCGAAAACTTGTTTAAGTGCAAAAGAAAATACATTATAAAGCCATAACGCAACAATTACAAAGATTTTTTTAATTTTAAACCGATGTTAAATTTGAATACTAGGAGGCCAACAGGGGCCAGAAAGCCTAAAGTGCCGGGAAGCCACGAAATACTTAACCCGGCCTTGTATATTCCATCATCATTTCATAATCAGTTCAGTTAAACAAAGTATGAAAGTATGAACATACACTAAAATGAAGAAATGCTTTTCTTTTTTCTTGTTTCAAGCATTTTTTTTTCTATGTGAAATAGGAGATTAAAAAACGCATTAATCTTGTCCAGCGCAATCCGCCATTTCATTAACGCAAATTTACAAGGTTTGCGCTTGCACACGAGTAGTATACATTTGCCTCGGATAGGTCACAATTAAATACCGCACTTTGAAAATAAATTAAAAACTCCATACCGTGTTTTGAAAATAAATGTTTTTTAGAAGTAAAAAAATATAGGGTTATACTTCGCTTAGCATATATTCGGAAACAATGTCTGTTAGGTCCTTCTAAACTGAAAATAAACCACACAGTTTCTACGTAATTTTGAAAGTGGCGCTTACCGCGATTTGAAAATAAACTCTTCAAATGTATTACAGTAGCGTAATATATATACAGTCACAAATCAAAGTTTGGAACATTATGTAATTGTGTAAAAAAGCATCGAAATATTCCACGGTTACCCTTGACTACCCTTGAAATGACCACTTGGACGGTCATGACCACTTCTGAAGAACGAATATGCCCAGATTTAAATTTCTTGACCGCACTTAGCCATATTTAGACATATAGCTTGTACCATTAAATTAAAAATTATCAGGTAATCTCAGGACCACCCTTGACCATCCCTAAAATAACCATTGAGCGGTCATTATCACTTCAAAAGACCGAATATGCCCAGATTTGAATTCTCTGGTTGCAATTATCTATATTTAGACATACAACATGCCCTATCTAATTTAAAAACCATCGAGACATCCCATAACCAGACTTGACAACCTCTAAAATGACCACTTGTGTGGTTATGACTAGTCTAAATTTTAAATGGAGCTCAAAAATGAAATCCTTGGCCCCAAAAACCCCTATAAATATGTTTATATTTAATCCATAAATAGTTTTGCTGTTTTTAGACAATTCTGGCCTACTGTGCAGTGATTCAAAAGCATTTTGTATAACAGACAATAGTATTATTGCAGCTAAAAATCACTCCTAAAAATAATTAAAAACAGTATGTCGTGATCGTCCAGGTTCGCGTTGCGTCCCTGCAGGTTCAAATTTTGCTCCTTTTTTGTTTCTCTTTTTCTCTTTTGTTTCTCTTTTTATCTTTATATAAATGACCCTCCAAAAGTTTCTAATTAACAGATATTTGCAGACAATACAAATTTATTCTAATCTTCAACAAACATAAATGGTCTGTATGAAAAAGTAAACAAACGAGTCGTCATTAAAAAAAAAGTCATAAAATGCACTAGACACGAAAGCAATCAAACGTATTTTTTTTTTTTTTTTGGATAATAAAATTCTATTTAAAAAAAAGTTTAACAAAAAGTTTTTTGTTTATTAAAGTAAAGTATATTATTAAATAAATGAGCAAAGCTGATGCTGTTTTAATGGTAACCATGAAACTCTAAACTTACAAAAAGTAATGTGATAATATTGCCGTTTTTTTAAAGAAACAGTTATCATGGTAAATACAAATTTGAATTGCTAAAAAAAAAAAAAAAAAAAAAAACAACAACCAACGTGTAAAAAATAATCTCGATAACTCTAAAACTAACATTCGTTGGTGATGCTTGAAAAAAAAAAATCTGTAAATGAAAAGGAATTATCCAGCGTAAAGCAGGCGTAATTTAAAATTATTTGATGAAATTTTAAATATATGGATAAATATCAATTTAATTAAGAGAGTAAAAATTTAAATAAAAAAAAAAATTATTAAAAAAAAAATTAAAAAATTAAAAATAATTAGTTGATTTTTTATTCTCAGGCTCCAATCATCGCATTTTTTTCCTTAGCATCCTAACTTGACATAAGTATAAACATATAATATAAGTATAACATATAAATGTCTAGAGTTTGCTACATGTATAAATATAAGTGTAACGTAAATGTGTGGAGATTATAACTCAAATATAAGTATAACATATAAATATAAATTTGTTAAATGCCTGGAAGTTAGCCCAAAAACGAAAAAAAGCTGGATGTAAAGATGATGCCGGGAAAATTTTAACAGGTAAAAATGAACTAAAAATAAAACCCGTTGACATAACTATGTCAAGGTATGTCTAAGTTTTTTTGATTTTTCTTTTGCTTTACATTTACGACTATATCGATTATATAGTGGATCGATATAGACAAGTGTCGATTAATTATTTAAGAGCTGTGATGAAAAAGAATGGAAAAAAAGAAAAAAAAAAAGAAAAAAAGACTTAGCTAACTTAACTTTCTTAGCTGAGAAGTTTAGCATTAAAACTTTTCTCTTTCAATAAAAGAGAAATCAAGATTAAACTAGCGCTATAGGAATTTTAACGATAATCGCAAATAAACAATTGTTTTTTAACTACACGACAACGAGAACAATATTAATGTCCTAACATAAACAATTTATAGATATGTTTTTTTTTTCATAGAAAAATGAGATCAAACGAAGCTTTTGAACAAGGTTTTTAAATAGTAAAAGTAATCTAAATTTTGATTCTTTTGAAGACATTTTAACAAGAAACATAAACAAGTTCCAAGAAACTCAATGAAATTTAACGAATAAACAGTATATTGATCTTTATGAACTGAATGGAACGAAAAATAACGATTCTTTTCCTATGATATATTTAAATACTAGAAGCATAAATCAAAAACATGATAAGTTCACTCTTACGACGTCAAATGAATTATTTAATCACACGTACGACGTCAAATGTCTTTCGGAGACTTGACGCGAAAACACACTTGAATCTAATTAAATTTATAAATTATTTAATTATGAATCAACAAGTCAACCGCCAGGAATAAATTTAAAAAATGGAGGAAGAGTACGTGTATATGTTTTTTAAAAAATATTCATACAAAATAAAAAATGCATTATGTTCATCAAATCTGAATTAAGAAATCAATTCATTAAAATTGTGACAAATGTGAAATTGTGAAAAATGAAAGCAATCTAGTTAGACGTGTAATTGACCGCCAAGTGGTAAAATTAAATTGTTTAATGAATTTATAAAAATGATAGTATAAATTTTGTAAAAAATTATTTCTACTATAATTTTCATTGCATACAAACTTATGATTTAAGTTTGTGTTCTTAGCAGACTTGCTAGTTAACCGTCCCAGATACGAGTTATTAACTTTTAACCCTGCTAACCGTCCCAGATACGAGTTATTAACTTTTAACCCTGCTAAACGTCCCAGATACTTTTAACCTGCTAACCGTCCTAGATACGATCAATTAACTTTCAACCCTGCTAACTGTCCTAGATACTTTTAACCCTGCTAACTGTTCCAGATACGATCATTTAAAGCCTTTGGGACTATTCAAAAGACTTAGTCTAAGTTATACTTTTTTTATATAAGAAAAGTTTTTTTAAATAAGAAATCATATTTACATTTTATTTTACATGTAAACATATAAAAAAAGTTAACAGCTTCAATAAAAAAATCTAAAATACAAATATAGGAAAAAATAAACTACTGAAAACTGATGAAAAAAAATTGCAACTTAAAAAAAAAGATTTAAAATTAAACGACTTCAACTACAAAAAAATTCATTATGAAATTAAACAAATTTTATTAAAAAAAAATATGATGAAACCAAACGAAGTTTGAACTTAAACGACTTAACTACAACAAGTGTTATTATATTAAAATTATTTATTATTTTATTAAAAATTATATTAAAATATGTTCAAAAATTTCCAAAAGATCACCATTTTAGAAATCCAGGTATATATTTATCAACTAAAGATTGGTAATAAGGTTGCAAAGCTTTTGGGTCGAGAAGTTTGTCACTTTTTGTATACAAGTCAAACAAGCTAAAAAAAAAATGACAAAAATATTAAATAAATATGTTATAAACAAAACTAGCCGATAAAAACTAAAAGCTACTTGAATTCTTGTATCCAAGGTAACATCAAAACATCTTTTTCGTTGCATAAATTTTTATAACTGTCAGATGCATGGTATGGATAAAAAGAATGATAACGAATCATATTAAGTGCTTCTTCTGGGAGTGTAGCTTTGTTATGTTTAAGTACTTGGTACAAATATTCTGAAAGAAAAACCAAAATAGAAGCATTTTAACTAATGATTGCTAATTACAAAATTTTTTACCACTAAACTCACCGTCATGTCCCCAAGACATCATCACTTGATCTAGTCCACAATTCTCTTTATAGATGCCGTTGGGTGTGCTGTTTGAAAAAAAAATTTTCTGAATAAAGCAACAACATTAAAGAGATAAAAAAAAAGCATATTAACTTTATAAAAGTTTAAAAATTATAGTTTTAAAATGATAATTTTGGAAGCATTTTTTAACTTTATATTAAAATTAAATGCATATAACTTACCTATATTCCGGATGATTCCAGTCTGGATTTTCTTCAAAGTATTTGTAAAATACACATGTAGGTTGGAATTGGCATCCTACAGGAAATGTGTCTCCAACAACACACCACTAACAAAGAAAACACATATTTTTTAAGATGTACTCTGAAGAAAACCCCCCTTATATTAGTTACCAAAAATTATCAGCATTTCCTCCTCTGGACCTTGATACAATTTTTTTTCACTGCTGCACCTAAAGTTCTTTGAACTCGATAAATTCATTGTAAAAGAACATTAAATTTTGCAAAAAAAAAATAAAAATTGTTATAAGATCCAAGGGGCTTGGAAAAAATTGAAGATTATCATTTTTAACTTTTAACAAAAAATTAACTAATTTTTTTAACTAAAAAGAATTACAAAGAACTAACTACATGAAAAAATAATGAAATGACTAGAATATATAAAAAAGTAGTGTATGGAATAAATTAAACAAATAACAGTGTATAAAACAAGTTATACAAAAAAGCTGCAACAGAAACCAATTATATACAAAACAGAAATAAATTAGATTAAACACTAATTGACTATATTTATTAATTTCATTAAAAAGCTTTATCTCAATAAAAATGACTTTCTAAATAAAATTTAAAATGAAACAACTGCCCTTTATAATTTTCATAATTTTATTTGATTTGAAAACAATTTAAAAATAACTACAAATATATTTTTTAAAGCCATGTTTTCTCTTATTTTGGATAAAGAAAATTTCTATTGTTATTATAGTGCTTGTATCAATTGCTGATAAATAAATTTAAAAAAATCTGTTTTTATTTTATATCCACTTATCACTTAATTCGATTGTTGAGATTTTAGCTCTTTACAATAAAAACTAATTGCTTTCAAAAATTATTAATTGACTAAGTGAATTGATCAGGTATAATCTTGTATTGATTTTTTGGCAATAAAAATGTATTTTTTGCAATAGGTAGGCAGCAGGTATCTTCAACATTTTTTACATTTTTAAGCATTTTTCATTTGGAATCTCAGTAGTAAAATGCCTAAATTATTTTTAAACTTTTTTAATAACCCCAATAATCTTTAAAAAGCATAAAAAGTTTTATAAAATGTAATGACCGTAAACAAGAGTTAATGAGGAAAGGAGAAACAAAAGGGGATGGAGAAAAAAGATAAAAATTCGCAAGGGGATTATTTTGATCTTAAAATTTGTGCTGATGTCATTTAATTATTAAAATGCTGTGCAACTTTGTCATAGTAAACTTGTGTTTTTAGTACGTGATGTAAATAAAGTTTCATTAGACAAATTTTATGCAATTTAAGTTGTCAATTAGTTTCAAAAAGAAATTTTTTTGCTATCTTTCTTATAATTCTTATATAGAATTTAGGTTTTCCTAATAAAAATAGCAAAGATAGTATAAATAGCAAAAACAGCATAAATAACATTTAAGTTTTTTAAGAAAAAATATACATGTAAAAAATATTAAGTATTTAATAAGTATATATAGTTTTATAATTTTTTTTTTCTCTATATATACATTTAATTTAAATTTTTTTTCTATATATGTACAACTTTTGAATTAATTTTTTTTTTTTTAATATCTTCGCTTCCAATAAGGCAGCAAGCAACCACTAAATAGTGTTGGAAGTTACTGGAAGAGAAAAGATTGTAGAGCAAGATAACAATTGACAGACGACTTTAATATATTAAATTATATGAATCAGAAAAGCAAGATGAAGAAAGCAAATTCCAAAGAACTGGTGTTTGAGGGAAAAAACTAGACGAATAAGAGTTTTTGGAGCACTTAGGAACAGCAACAAAAAAAGGATGAGACTTAATTGAATGATGACTAACATGAGAATGAATTTTAGTAGATAGCACAAGAGATGCTAGCTCTTTAGAGCAGTGCCCATTATAGTATTAGTAGAAAAGAGAAAGAGAAGCAACATTACGACGATGTGACAAAAGTTGAAGGTTGGCTGCAAGAGCAGATCCAACTATGTTTACAATGCATTTTTGCACCTTGTCTAAAAGAGAAAGGGCATCATTGGAAGATCCGCCCCAGATATGGCAACAGTTTTCCATACAAGGCCGGATTTGAGATTTATAGAGATAGAGAATAGAATCCAGAGTAAAAAAGTGTCGAGCTCGATAAAGAGATGCAACTTTAGCAGATGCTAATTTTGCAACGGATTTGATATATGGTTTCCAAGAAAGATCAGAAGAGTTAATCCTAGAAGATGAAGGATAGATAACTCATCGAGTACATTACCATTCATAAATATAGGAAGGTCTAAATTATTGCAATAATGATTGGCTGAAAAAAATTGAGTTTTATCTGAATTAAAGTTCACCAGCCACTGTGAGCCCCATGCTGTAGCAGAAGTAAGATCCTTTTCAAGCTCAAATGCCCCCTGCAAGCTATCAGAGGGAATTGGCTTCTTATCGTGACAAGAATAAATGCTAGTATCCTCAGCAAACAATGCCACCTTAGATGTGAGAATATCTGGAAGATCGTTAATGTAAATTAAAAAGAGTATAGGGCCAAGGATTGAACCTTGAGGAACCCCTGAGTTTACAGAATAAGAAGAAGAGTGCTGTCTATTAAGGACAACTTTTATACTACGATTGGAAAAAAAGGATTCAATAATCTTAAAGATGTTTCCAGATACACCGTAAGAAAAAAGCTTATTGAAAAGACCAGCATGCCAAACTTTATCAAATGCTTTAGAAATGTCAAGAGCAATGGCCTTAACCTCTTCACCTTTATCTAATGTGCGATAAAACCTATCAGTTATTACTGTTAGCAAATCAGGCGTAGAAGGAGAAGATCGAAATCCATATTGATGATCAGAAAGTAAGTTATTAGATTCAAGATGAGAGATTAAGTGTTTGTTAATTAAAGATTCAAAAATCTTGCTTATGATAGGAAGAAGACTAATGGGACGGTAGTTAGACAAATCAGATTGCTCTTCAGAATTTTTAAAAATAGGGATAACAGATGCTGCTTTCCAGCAGGCTGGAAAACAAGACTCTGATAAGCACTTGTTGAATAGTTTTGAAAGGATAGACGACAGCTCCAGAGAACACTTCTGCAAGACTATAACAGGTATGTTGTCTGGGCCGCAAGCTGTAGAAGAGTTTAAGCAGGAAATCACTTTAGATACAGAAGCTGGAGTGATATGGATGTAGAGCAATGGATCAACCTGTTTGACAGCTATATCAGGTAGAATGCAACTAGTGGAATCAAGAGATGATATTGATGAAAAGTTCTTTTTGCCTTTAGGTGAGGTGACAAAGTCTGAACAATACAAAAGAGGTGGAATTACAGACTTGCTCTTATTATTGATACTATTAAAGATTCTCCAGAAGTCATGAGAGCCTAATTTTTGAGATGAAATACGAGATTTTACGATCTGACAATAGTGGGCTTTGGCATTAGACAAAACCTTTTTACAATGGTTCCTAGCAGTAATAAACAGACGTCTGTTTTCTGGAGAATTGCTTTGCTGATAGATATGGAAGTAATGGTTTCGATTGGCAATTGCAGCAGCACAATGTGAGGAAAACCATAGAGAACAGTGAGGCTTGACCTGGAATCGTCGAGAAGGAATAAAGGATTCCATGCCAGCCTTACTCCACGAAGTTATGTAAGAAGCACATTTGTCAACAGGAAGACGAAAGATTTCTACCCAAGGGCCATCACGAAGAAAATCACAGAAAGAGTCCCAGTCAGCTCTAAGGTAGTTGTAAGATGTACGATGATAGGGGGAGTCTGATGATGAAGAAGAATGAGATAATAGTTTTAAAGAGATCAAACTGTGATCAGAGGCACCTAAGAGTGAATGTGGAGAAACTGAGCACTGACTAGGATCAGAAACAAGACACAAGTTGAGTAGAGAAGGTAAATGATTCGGGTTGTCTGGAAAGTGAGTTGGAAAGTTGACTATTTGAGTTAGGGGTTGAGAAAGACAAAAGTTGTGGGCTTTAATACCTGCAGAGTCACTGACACTAGAGCCAATCCATTCAGTGTGATGAACATTAAAGTCACCGACAACAACAATATTGGCTGATGGATAAAGAGAGAGGGCTTGGTCAATATGATCAGAAATAACATAAAGAAGAGTGCAGTCTTAAGTAGAAGGAGAGTGATATAGAACAAACAGAAAGGTGATAGAGTGAAGTGGTACTAAATGAAAGCACATAAAAGAGTAGTCTGTGGATTCAAACCTGTTTTCCCGACAAATGGGTGAATACTTACGAATGTAAATGCCCAGGCCAAACATGTGACTATTGGAGTCTTTACGAATTAAAGGAAGATAACCATCAACACTAAAATCACAAGATCTTTATAATAACTTGATCGTTTTATAGCAAACCAAATTGGAGAATATACTTGGACTATATACTTCGTTATCATAACCAACTCTGCTGATGGATCTGTTGCTCTAGTATATTTATACATAATCTGTAATGCAAGTGTCAACCACCTTGCATGGTTCACAGGTCCAGGTTTTGTCATTGCATATTTTTTTGAAACTTTACCTGTAGATATACTAATGGTGTATTTATATAATTTTCTTTGATCATAACTTTATTCAGAAACAACACGCTCATCCACAAATGACTGAATTTCAGACATTATTGTAGAAAAAACTAGGGAGTTCATGTATGGAATTTTCTGAAACCGATGAACAAACTGGACCTTCATATTTCTTTGGATCATTTGTTTCCATCAAGTAGAATAATTACTTGTCTTAATGGCAATTCATTTTGGTGTAGTTGACATCCAACTAAATATAATTTTTTATTTATAAATTTTTCTAGCTTAACAATGAGACCATTGTCTGTACCAGTATTTGAACTTGTATTGTCAAGAACCACAGCTTCAAGAGTTTCGGTGCTGTTAAACTCAGTTAGAACTTCTTTAGTTGCATTGGCTTTAGAAACTCTAGTTCCACTTGTAATAATTTTATGTGTTAAATATTTTCTTTTCTTTTTTCCACTTTTTGCAGTTAATGTGAGATGTGTTTCTTTTTCAATTCCAGGTATTATCATTGGCTCACCTGCTGAATTGTAAACAATTGTGTGAACAAGCATTTCTTTATCTTTATTATCATTAACTCTGATAACCTTTAATTGAAAATCTTCTTTACTATGGTCAATGTCAAGTTGTTCTCCTATTCTAAACTTCTCACTAAAAACTTTATTTTCTGTAATGATATTAGTTCTTTCAGCAGCTGTTACTATGCCATAGTCAATGAGTAATCCTGTACCTAAATGAGCAGCAGCATTGTTACTAATTCCATAACAAATTGCTGCTTTTACAAAGTTAGGCAAGTGTTTGTAATTATGTAAAGTAGACATTATCTCTTCATAAAAATCTAGATTTACTTTCACTGACATCGCGATCATTTTCATCAGCAGAACAAAGGTCATCACACTAAACAAAAATTAAATAAATTTGAATTAAACAATATACTGGTTAAACCAATTTAAGACACCTCTTTCTAAATATTTAATTATATTTACGAATTACTAATAAAAAAATATACATGTCTATTTACGACTAAATTTGATTCTTCAAGACTTTCCACACAAGCACTTGTGTATACATTATAATACAAAACTTCTCTTCAAATAAACAATGCTAGCTTTGTTCCCTTTTGATTTTTTATGTTCAGCACATAAAACTTTTTTAAAAAGTAACTCAAGTTTTTTAGTATACTTCTCTCGTGGATCAAGGGGAGTTTAGAGTTCACTTTTCTCCATAGCTCAACAAGTTTAATGCTTATTTGAGAAACAATTTGTTGATCAGTTATTTTTTTGGCAGTGAGTTGTTTATTGAGTTTGTAGCTGAACTGTATAACTTGTTGAAATGTGGGAAGGTCGCTAACAGGAAGATCATTTGGTAGTCCTGCAAACCAAGAACTTGTGCAGCGAGTTCTATTTTTAAGGGACTTAGCAACTTTTCCCATTTTATTTATTATCTATTTGAAAACAAGATTCAGTTCATATTTTAAAATATTTTATTTCTTATTTAGTTACAGTTAGATCAATCCACTAAATACAAATTATATAAATTGTAGATTATTATTTTTAATATTATAATTAAAAATAAAAATTATTAACTATAATAAAAAAATAATAATATATTTATATTACTTTTAAAAATTATAAATTTTTTGCTGATTATAATACAATACAGCAAAAAATGTATTACTAAACATAAACACATGTTTAAATAAAGCTATTTACTAAACATAAAAAGCTATAAAAACTATATATATATATATATATATATATATATATATATATATATATATATATATATATATATATATATATATATATATATATATATATATATATTACTACCATTATGGTGGTTTGTTTACATCATTTGTATAGAAGTTTATTTGTTTTACTGTTCCGAACAGCGCGCTATAAACATAATTAGTTAAACTTGTAATTTTTTTTTTATATATATAAAAAAAGTATTTAAAATACCTCGCCCTAATCAATTAACCATATTAATTAAAAAATAGTTACACCATTATTCTTAGTTTTTGTTACAGAACTTTCCACATCTATACCAATTTTAAATGGTAAAAATGGAATTGGCCTAATATGCGGCATCCAGCTTTTATTTTTATCTCCAAAATAAAATCTTCAACCTAAAATAGCAGTCATAAGCCTCCATAATCAATGAAGAGAAAATGTCATTTTACCACAAACATAACTAAAAGTTACCAGCATTATTTAAACACTTTTGATATAATAAATAATATAATAAAAGATAATATTTAAACAGTAAATATGACTTTACAAAAAAATTTTGTAACATGACTTAGCAGAAAACTGTTGTAAATAAGTGATAACGAATATTTATTACTTATTTACATGGGCATGTCTTTAATCCAAGATTGAAATATAGACATGCCTAATTTTTCATAAATTAGGCAGTTTTTAAGTAAAAATTTATGTTGAGTTTAAAACATATTTTTATAAACATTTTATAAATAAATTTTTTTCAATTTTAAAAAAGCATAGTTAATGTATGGGGATAGACTAAGTAGTCTTCAATAAAACTTGTCAAATACCTGTGGTTCACCCCATAATGCCATAACTTTTCCAAGATCATGGATGAGGCCTGTCAGTTGAAACCAGTCTAAATTGATAGATTAAATATTCATTCCAAGATTTATTATGAAACATTTATTAAAAATAATAGTTCATCAATCCAACTTGATAAATTCCAATTTATTTTTTTATTATATTGGACTATTTTTATATATTAACACTCTAAACTATTTTTGTCATTATAATTATTATAGAATACTTAATGCTTATTTGTGCATTTTTTTTTTTTTTTTTTAATTTACAGCTTCTTTTTTTTTCTTTTTCTTTTTCACTTTTTCATCTTCTCTTCCAACAAGGCTGCAAGCAACCACTATTAGAGTTAAAAGTTACTGGAAGAGAAAAGATGAAGTTTATAAAGCAAAATAACGATTGACAGACGACTTAAAATATTGCAAATTATTTAAATCTGGAAAACAAGACAATGGGAGTGAATTCCAAAGAACTGATGTTTGAGGAAAAAAATCGGACGAATAAAAAGTTTTTAAGAACTTGAGAACAGTCACAGTAAAAGGATGAAACTTAATAGAATGACAACTAACAAGAGAATAAATCTTAGTAGATGGCACAAGAGACACTAGCTCTTTAGAGCTTTAGAAAGTAAAGCAATATTACAATGATGTGATAATGGTTGGATTTTGACTGCAAGTGCAGGTCCAACGTTTATAATGTGTTTTTGCACCTTGTCTAAGAGAGAAAGGGTATCATTAGAAGATCTGCCCCAGATATGGCAATAGTATTCCATACAAGAACGAATTTAAGATTTAAAGAAATAAAGAATAAAATCTGGAGTAAGAAAGTGGTGAGCACAATAAACAGGTTTGATCGGGAAGAGGGAGCGATCGCTCTCGAATACTGACCACGGAAATAATATAATAAGTTGCAAAAAACTGGCCAGGTTTTTTAGTCATTTTGAGAATATTTAATTTTCTATACGTAACAAAAAAATTTTGTTTTATGGACATACATGGAAACATAAGAAACTTGAATGTTCTCAAAACATCTTGGTGTGGAAGAATAAAAAGAATATTTGCGAACACTAAAAACCCACCAAATTAATGAACAAACTAATTCTATTGGTTCAAAAAATACACTGAACAAGCAAAATTAAGTTCTAGAGTATTCCGTTGAAATATTTTAGCAATTGTGTTATTCACGATTTGTTACGTTTTGAGATATCTTGCATAAATTGTTTTAAGAATATATTATCAATACTATGGCTCATTCTCGGAGCCATTCTTGGAGCTGCAAATCTGCAAATCTGCAAATCTTTTAAACTATTATTTGTTTACAAAAATAAATATTTAAAAAAAATAATATTTATGAATATTATAATGAAGTTAAAGTTAATAAAACTAACTATGTAACAAACATATAACAAGTTTCTGGTTACTAAACACAAACAATGCATACAAAGTAACTCGCAGATGAACAAACACCGCCTGAGGTCACGACAGAACACAAATATATATAGCAAGTTATTAGATATAAAGGAAAGTTTCTAGATATTGGTTTACTAACTCTAACTATTTTTGCTTCAGTTGCCATTCTTAAAAACTCATTATACTTTTTTCTGCTTTAACTACTAATTAAAATTAAAAAGCCAACTCACTAAACATCATCATCAGTATTGTGAAGCAGTTTTGCTTCCTTATCATTATTTATTTATTCCTCATCGTATTTTTAACCTTTTTATTTGATTTCTATCTAGTTAATTTAATTTCTATAGTAATTTAATGATTTAATTATTTCATTAGTTCATCTTACTAAGAAGAATTGATTCAAATATGTTAAACTTTTTAAACTACGCAAAACATAAAATAGGTTTTAAAAAAATTAACTTTTTTATTTATAAAATAATTTAGCTTAGATAAAACTAAAACTTGCATTAGTTTTACTAGAATCTTGTTAGACTTTTCGGAGCAGAGGGCTATTTCTATTTTGGATGCCTTTGTATGTGCTGCAGCATAAAAATGACTAAACAAAAAGGTCTTCTTGACTTTTTTTGGGCCTTAACATTGTGGGGCCCAGGGATATAGCCCCCTCTAAACCCAACCCTTCTTAATCTAGCACTGGAAATAAGACACGAGTATATAAATAAAAATTATATTACACTTTTTGTTAAACAAAGAACATTTGTTTCTTTTTTAAACAATTGTAAGATGTTACTTTGTATAAAAAACGTCGCTTAATTTTATAAAAAAATTACAAAGAGCAATGTTTTGAAAATATTTGTTCTAAACATAATTTATTGTGCTTTAAGTTTTTGCATTAAAAGATATTTTGTTTTCCTAATTTTTTTTTTTTGTAATTGTCTCTCATCGGTCCAATTAATCTTTTGCACATATTTTTTTTGCTTTTTAAAATGCTCTCAAAACGGCTAAAAAATCTGGCCAGCTTTTTGCAACTTAATATGTTTTCTAACAGTTAATAAATATTTTTAAATCTTTTTTTTTAAAACCTAACAAACCCCCGTAAAATAATTATTTAAGTTAAAAGTCTAAAACTAAAAGAAAGTATTTTTGTTCAATTTTATCGACATTTTTGCTATTGCTGAATAATTCTATTAAAATGTTAGCTTAAAAGATTTATAATTTTTTTTTAATCTGAATTTTTTCTTCTTCTTCTAATGATGAGCATATTTAATTTTTTTTTAATTCAAACCTTTATTTCAACTGCGTGCGGTTTTTAAAATAAATGTTAAAATAATCGTAAATTACTTCATTAAAATTCCACTCAAAAATATCTTTAAATATACTCAAACAAAAAATTTTTTGCTCGACGCAAATAGCCCTAGCTACACGCAAAATCGCTCTTGGACGACGTAAACTTCTCATCGCCCGACACTTTATCGCAAGGCCTGCAATTTGATATATGGTTTCCAAGAAAAATCGGAAGTAAGAGTTAATCCAAGAAAATGAAGGGTAGATGACTCATTGAGTACATTATCATTCGTAAATATAGGAAGATCTAGATTTTTGGAATAACAATTAGCTGAAAAAAATTGAGTTTTCTCTGAGTTAAAGTTCCCCAGCCACTGTGAGCCTCAAATGCAGCTGTTGTTTATGCTTTATATTATATATACATATATATATATATATATATATATATATATATATATATATATATATATATATATATATATATATATATATATATATATATATATATATATATATTATATATATATTATATATATATATATATATATATTATATATATATATATATTATATGTATATATATTATATATATATTATATATATTATATATATTATATATATTATATATACTATATATATATTATATATACTATATAAATTATATATATTATATATACTATATATATTATATATATATATATAATATATATAATATATATAATATATATTATATATATAATATATATTATATATATTATATATTATTTATATATATATATATATATATATATATATATATATATATATATATATATATATATATATATATATATCAGGCCTTGTTTTAAAGCGTTACGCCTAGAGCGATTTACGTACGCCTTAAGCGATTTTTACGTACGCGTAGAGCTGTTTTGGTTAAGCTACTTTTTATCATTTTTTAACTTTTAAATTAGCGGTAACATAAAAGAAGTAATTAATTTTTAAAAAAACCACATTAACTTTTAAATAACGATATGTAAAAATATTTATTAGAAAAAAAAAATTACGTTAAAAATAATTGAAGTAACTTTCTATCGCGACATATCATACGTTTTTATAACATTTAATTTTACGCTTAACTTTTTATTCAAATATTTAGTAACATGAAAAATTGTTCGTCAATCCTTAACTACAAATTTTTTACAAATGTTTTTAATAAAAAGTAGTAACTTTTTAAAGTTTTCAGTAAAAAACTTTTAAAAAATCTATATTTCAAACTTATTAATACAGAATATAAATGTTTTTTGTAGTATAAACTTTTAAAGAGTTTTTTACTAAATCCATATTAAAAAACATTTGCAAAAAATTTGTAATAAAGGGTTGACATTTTTTTAATATATCAAAAAACGTCTTAATATTTTTGTTATCATGGTAACAAAAGTATCAAGACATATTTTCAAGATATTAAAAAAAAATGTGCCAATGAATGAACAATCTATTTGTATTTTTCTAAAAATTACTTCATTAATTATTACTCTTTGCTTTTCTTATTAGTTAAAGGTATATAGATACCTTTGCTTTTAAGTTATGCGGGGGAGGGGGCCAGCACAGAAAAAAAAAAATTACCTGTTACTCGCAATTTTTGAATGAAGACAATTTGCTAAATTTCTTCTGCGTGCGATTCAATAAATTTTTTTTAGATCTTCTTAGATCAATTTTTATTATAAGGTAAAGAAACCCCAAGTAGACTATAACATCCGCTGATGACACTAATATTACGTTGAATATATTTATATAATGGAGGTTTCATTATGCACGCGCACATTACAGATTCTGTTAAATAAATACTAAGACACGTTTTAGTTTAATGACAGCCTCTATTTTTTATTAATGAATATGTATTTTTCTTTATAAAACAAGACAAACTAGTATATAAAAACCTTTTATATTTCTATTCTCTCTAAATTGTTTAAAGTTCGAATATGGATTGTATTTTGAAGGACAAAAGATTTCCTTTAAAAACTTTTAAATCTTGGGACTTTATATAGGCCTGTATATATATATATATATATATATATATATATATATATATATATATATATATATATATATATATATATATATATATATATATATATATAATTTAGTAAAATAACTTATCTAATTTTTGTGCTCTTCAACAGCATGTTTCACCATCAGTAGGTTTATCAGGAAGCATTATATATATATATATATATATATATATATATATATATATATATATATATACATATATATATATATATACATATATATATATATATATATATATATATATATATATATATATATATATATATATATATATATATATATATATATATATATACATATACATATATATATATATATACATATATATATATATATATACATATATATATATATATATATATATATATATATATATATATATATATATATATATATATATATATATTTATATATACATATATATATATATATATATATATATATATATATATATATATATATATATATATATATATATATATATATATATATATATATATATATATATATATATATATATATATATGTAAATAATTTTATATGTATTCTACAAAACTGAGTGCTCAATGTTCTTAAAACAACAGAGCAATAATAAATTGGCAGAAAATCACTTATCATTTAACTTTTTTCATTTAACACTGTTTTTCATCAATAAAGACTCATTAGTTTCTGATGAAACAAAGTCTTAATGAACTTTTGGGCAACAATTTTTTGTATGCCTAGAAAATAAAATAAAATAAAAAAACAAGTGCCCCCTTTTTGGTAGGCACCCCTAGGCAGTGATATATATATGTATATATATATATATATATATATATATATTATATATATATATATATATATATATATATATATATATATATATATATATAAACCTCATTGATATACTAAACATGACATTGCACTTAAATGTTAAATGATTAGATTACCTTTATCTGGATGTACTTCTCTGATCTTTTCAGCTGTCTGGAAAGCATGCATTGAATTTGGTAAATCAATCTAGTTACAAAAATTTAATCTTAATTACAAAGTTTAGAATAAACTTTATTTTTTTATATATATAAATTTATTTATAAAATAAGACTCATCAGGTTTATTTATAAAATACTCATCAAATTTATTTATACTTATTAAATTTATTATACAGACTCATCAAATTTATTTATAAAATAAGACTACATCAGGATCACTGGAGTCCACTAAATTGTCTAGCAAGGTTACTGCTTCCAATATTGTCATCTCAGCATGATCAAATTTCAACCACTTTTTTCTCTAAAACAATCATACCATACATTTTTATTTATTTGGGTTTTAACTATTCAAGTGACAAATATAACTTAAAAATTGAAATTATTGTTTTGTAATGTTGTCTTATTAGTAGTTCTTATTGTTTTGTTGTAAGTACATATGGTTTTAGATATGGTTACAACAAAAATAAAAATTTTTAATAAAAACCAACTCACTTTTTCTATACCAAAAGCAACAGTTTGGTTAGCATGCATTTGTTGGTATGTATTCATTACATTTAATGTTTGCAAATTATCCTAAAGTTAAATTACTATATTTAATTTTAATGATGTAAATAAGTTAGTGGATTGTGTATTAATGAATCTACTTTTAAATAAGTGACAACAAAAACTTGCTTCGTAGTTTCGAAACTTTTTCTGACTATTTTCATTTATTAAACCTTTATATTTCAACTCTGGACGATGAGTCAATGAAGGATCATCAATGATGGCTGTTTCTTCTTTCTGTAAAAATAAAAAATAATATTAATATTGACAAAAATTAGTATTAATAGTGTTATATTATATGATCAAATTTAGTTAACATTATTTCAAAAATAACTTTGTAAATTGAAAATAGTGGTTTAGCATAACTTTAAGTAACTTGAGTACTTGAGTGTTTTATCAACTCAAGTAAATAAAGTAATGGTCATACCTTCAAGTAACTTAAGTACTAAAGTAAACAATGGAAGTATTTAAAAGACTTTATATTTATAAGTAAAACAAAGTAACTTTGGATAATAAACTTAACAGAAAAAAAATAACTTATACTAAAGTATTTTAATATAATTTCATACCACAAAAATAAAATTTTACCAATTTTTGTTTGTTTACATGATGAAGCACATCTGCTTTGTTTTTCCATGTTAAACAACTTTATGTCTGGTGTGTTATGGAAGGCTGACTGTCGTAGTACTCATTACTTTTATTAGGTTTGCAGTTATTTTTTTCTACTTATTTTTAGAAGTTTTTTAAATAAATTTATATTTAAAAAATAAATATAAATAATATAGAAGACAAAACTACTAAGAACAGAAAACAAAAAGGATATAATACATATTACTATGACATACACCTGATAAGTGGCCTCATTGCAGGTTTTGGGCTCCATTGAAACATCTTAGGCAATTGAAATATATCCTAGAAGGGGGACTACTATCCATTACTAAATTCTAATTGGTTATTGGAGCACCAACATATTCACTACAATTTTGAGTATTTTATCATATTGGTCTCATTTGAATAAACACTCTATTTAGTCACATTATTTACAGTTACTACAGGCTTGGTCGGGAAGCGGGTGCGATCCCACTTAATAACTGACTATGGAAATAATATTTAGTTACAAAAAACCGGCCAGATATTTTAGTCGTTTTGAGAACATTTAAATTTATGTATCTTTCCTTAATTAAGTTCATTATTTTAACGTAAATTTTGAAATTTTACGGACATACATGGAAACAAACATAAACTCCAATGTTCTCAAATAATCTTTAAAAAAAACAAAAGTAAAAAAAACACAAAAAACCTGCTAAATCTACGAACAACTAATTCTATTGGTTCAAAAAATACTAACCGAAATTTCTAATAATAAATTATTAATAATCATCAAAGTTAATACAAATAATTTTAACCACTAATTCATTTTCCTCAGTGTACCCGATAACTGATTCTTTTCCCCATGAAAGAAAAGTTTTTAAGTTCTTAGAAATTGGTTTACTAACTTCAATTATTTTTGCTTCAGCCATTCTTACAAACTTGTTATACTTAAACCTAAAGTTACTTTTTTCTGTTTTAAATACTAATTAAAATTATAAAGCCCACTCACTAAACATCATCAGCATTATTGTGAAGCAGTTCCGCTTCCTCCTCACATAGTAATTTAACGTTTTTAGTTAATTTCTATTTAACTAATTGAATTTTTACATTAACTCAATGATTTAATTATTTCATTTGTTCATCTTACTAAGAAAAATTGCTTTAAATGTGTTAAACTTTTCAAACTACGCGAAGCATAAGACAGTTATTGAAAAAACTTTTTTATTAATAAATAAATCACCTAGCATTAGTTTTATTGGTTGAAATTTGTTGCACTTTCCAGGGCCGGGGACTGCATTATTTTGGCGGCCTTTTTTATGTGCCACAGCGTAAAAATGACTGAAAAAAATACCGAATGGTCCTCTTGACTATTTCGCGGCCCCTAATATTGTGAGTCCCGAGGCTATAGCCCTTCTACTCCCCCTTCTATCTCCTCAATCCAGCACTGGAAATAAGACATAATTATATAAATAAAAATTATATATACTCTTTGATAAATCGGAGAACATTTGTTTCCTTATTATACAATAATTAATAGTAAGTTGTTACTATATATAAAAAATGTCACTTAATTTTATAAAAAAAACTATAAAAGAGCGACGTTTCAAAAATATTTGCTCTAATCGTATATTTATTTTGCTTAAATTTTTTTAACGTTTAAAGCTATTTTTCTTTTGTTAACTGTCTCTCATCGGTCTAGTTAATCTTTTTGTGCTTTTTTGTTTGTTTTTGAAATGTTCTCAAAACGACTAAAAAATCTTACCGGTTTTTTGCAACTAAATATTATTTCCGTGGTCAATTATCGAGTGTGATTACACCTGCTTTCCAACCAAGTCTGTTACTAGTTTAAAGGTGGTATTTCATATGTATGAAATGTATATACTATGAACAGCATGATACTATTTTATACTCTACTTGTTAAGAAAGAAGTGAATGATAGTGGCACAGTTGATTAGTACACTGCAGTACAGATAAACAATCCAAATTTCATATTGTACCAGGGTTTCTTGTTTGTATTAGCTTAACTTCTCTTATTCTTTAGCTATGCAACCAAAGAAAAAATCTTTCACCACTTCCCACCCCTTCCCTCAATTATACAAGACACTTGAAAGTATTGACATTCAAAAAGAATGGGCTGCTCATGGTCTTAAAATTCCAAGTTCAAAACAAACTACGACTAAATGTTTTGAGAAAAAAAAAAAGATTTATATGACTTGTAATGAAAGAACTTTATTGACTTTAAACGAACAAACTTACAGTAAAAATTAAAAGTAAATGTGCCTATATACTTGACAGATATTCTAGTTGCATTGATTGATAAAATATTATTGGATAAATAAACACTAAAAACGGTTTAAAATTTATTCCACCAAAGATTAAGGGTTTTCATTCTAATCTTAATAACTACATTTTTGGAACAGTTACAAATGGAGTAATAAAAACCATAGGCCCATACTTGGCTTTTTAATTCACCTACTTGTTGTAAAATTTGGTTGAATCCATCTTTTCAATTTAATGACCACACTCTTCTTATTATTTTAGAAAAACAGGTTAATCATTGTGTAAGTCATTAAAATCACTCAGGCTTTTGTTGTTAAAGTTATTTCTCATTTCTACTCTTGTGGTCTAGACACAGTCTAAAAAGGTGTTCCACAGAACTCTTTCCAATACTCCCTAAACTATTTAACAAGTACTTAACTGAATCTAATTTTCATTCCAAAAAAAAAGATTCATTCTTTATATCTCAATTCATTCAGAATTTAGATATAAAGAATTCATCACTTTATATCTCAATTCATTCAGAATTGAGATATAAAGTGAGGTTATGGAGAAGATCATGCTGATCTTCTCCATAACCTCACTTTATATTTCAATTCATATCTGGAAAAGTTTTCAAAATCGTTAAATCATTCTTTTCTAACTGCAGTATCAAAGTTGTTTTGTTGGACAATACACTTGTTCATTTTCAATAACTTCTGGGGTACCACAATGATCCTCAGCCCTATGTTGTTCTTCATCTAAATTAATAATTCTCCTGATTATCTTACCTCTAAAGTGTTTTTCCTTTACTGATGATGATCATTATTATATACTTAGTCTGTCAAAAAGTCATAACTTTTTGATTACACTTTTAGCAGCCAATTTGAATGTAACCTCTCTTTTGTGAAAGCTTTGAGCTTCCAGTGCCTGGGGCATTTTAAAAATAAAATTCATTTATTTACTGCTACTATTTTAATACTGTTGATGAATGACATCACTCTAACCCAGTCCTTTATTTTATCTTTTGATTATTTTTTTCCACTGACTTCTTATGGAAATCATTATAGAATCCTTTGCAAAGTTAACATCTGTTAAGGTTGACTCACTTTAACGAGTTTATCATTTACTTAACTCTAATTATATTACCTAACTTAATAAACTTATTATTTGTTGTTGTATGGAATACTCTTATCATATTTAGGCTGGCACTTTTCATAAGACCTTCTCTCTACTAAACAAGGTTTTAAAATGGATTGTTGGACCTGCTCAAGCTGTCAAGCTTAAGCCAACTTTAATTATTATAAGGTTGTATCTCTTTCTAAATTCTAAAAATACTACAATGCTAGCTGCTTAAGAGAACTTTTATCTCTTGTTCCCTCAATCAAATCTCAAATGACTTGTCAGACTTTTTCAGTGTAACTGTTCCTTCATACTCAAAATACTTTTACTTATCTTATTATTTTCCTTGAATATTAATGCTTTGAAATTCTTTTTTGCATTCATGTTTTTCTCATATATTGACTCATACAGCTTTTTTATTGTATACTGAATCATACAATTTACATTTTTTTTTAGTTTTCTTCCTCTTCAAATCTTTGCTTTCCGTTAACTCCTAATATAAATAGTAGTGACTTGAAGCCTTGTTGTCCATTAAATTTTTTAGCAAAAAAAAACATGTGAATTTATGTTAGTAAAACTAAAAGATCAAGATGCAATAACTTTTGGATATTTTTTGAGTCAACGATGAAAAAATTTTCTGATTTTAGTCAAAATATCAGAACTGCAAAATAAGATACAAAATCAGTATGACCGATTAGAAATAAATTCTATTTTAGATTGCTAAAAGAAAGAGTTTAAAATTACAGCAAGAAATATTCTTTTACATCTTTTGATAATCTTAAATATGCATTCAAATTCTAACTTGTAAAATATTGAAACTAAATTTTTTTTTGTTGCATTAAGAAAAAATCCTCCAACATTAGATAAATGTTCAAAAATGCTTAAAAATTATAAAGCAATCAGCTGAAACAGAAAGATACTTTAACACTACTTGATTTATTATTAGTAAACTGAGAACATCATTGAGTAATAAAATGATAAACACATATATTTATTAATAATATATTTATTTAGTCACACATTATCATAACATAAGATAAAATAATATTTTATTGTTTTGAAAATATCTAAAACTTTTCATATAACATAAGTAATTTAGAATGATTTACTTAAAATAAATCCATAAATTTTTTCTCTTTAATAGACTCTGCAATTTAACATACCTAAAAAACCGCTCTCAATTTTTACCATGATTTTATGAAAGACGCAGCTAACCTCCACCCATTATCACATCGTTGTAATGTTGCTTCTTTATCATTCAAAAGTCTAATCTTTTTACTGTGACTGTTCCTAAGCGCTTCAAAAACTTTTATTCATCTAGTTTTTTTCCTCAAACATCACTCTTTGGGAATTCACATTTTTTTGTTTTCCTGATTCATATAAATTGCAATATTTTAAGTCATCTGTTAATCATTATCTTGCTCTATAAATTTCATCTTTTCTCTTGAAGTAACTTCCAACTCTAATAGTGGTTGTTTGCAGCCTTGTTGGAAGTGATGTTAAATAAATAAAAAAAATTTAGAAAAGCATCACCATTCTTTGGACCCTAATTAAGCTGTCTTCTTTGGTCAATTATTTGTATGTCGGGTGGTATTTTATTAGTCTAGTTTTTTTCCCTGCACTTCGACTTTTGGAACTCTCCCATCTTTATATTTTCCTGACTCATGCAACCTACAACTTTTCAAGTCTTCTGTCAACTGTTTCCTTGCTCTAACTCTATTCTTTCATTTTTTTTTTTTGTAGTAAGGCTTACAGCCTTGTTAGGAGTGAATCAGAATAAATAAATAAAAAAATAAATTATTTGGCATCAGCATAATAAATTTTTTAGTTTGCTCCATGCATGCATCACTTTTATTTTAAAATCTTTAAAACCTTTAAAATCTTTTTGATCAAATATGAATGAGATAAAATGAAACTTTTGAATATAACTTAAAACAGCACAAAAAACTTCAGAAAAAGGTAAAGTTAGCTTCTATACCCTAACTTCTATAAAACATTTTTTATTTAGCACAATATTTGCCAGCACATTAAAAAAAATTGAACTAAGTATGTGCTTTGAAGCTATTTTATCTTTGAGCCAGAAAATCCTGAACACACCACTGAAAAAAACCTATACCAATTGAGTATAAATGTTCATTGTGTCATTCGTTAGTGCACCGCCTATTCTTTCACACTTAAGAAACGATTAATGTATTTTTTTGTTGTTGTAGTTAGGTTTCAGTCAAGATAACATTCATCAAAATGATTTTCGTTAACATCTTCCATATTAAATTATAATAACGTTTTTGTTTTTTTTAATTTCGTAATTAAACAAACAAAAGCAAAAACGGTAAAAATCGCAACTAAATTGTCAACATCAAGCAATTTCTTCTCTTACCTAAAAATCACAATTTGATGAAATTTGATATAAAATGTATTAAACAAACAGATATTTTTAAAATTACCCATGTTTGCATTTACTTTTTATTTTAAAGAATTAAATACTTAATAATAATCAAAGGATGTCTGCATTCAGAAAAAAATAGTTTATATTCAATAAAATAACTATTTTGAAAGATTATTTTTGTGCTTAATGAAAAGCATAAAAATTTTAATTTAGTTCAAAGTAAAAAAGGAAATATATTAATAACAATAATAAATATCTTACCGGTATTAAGACCCTCATTTTTCTTTTTTCTTTTACTTATTGTTGTTTTTGAAGTTCGCTTTCCAATATTTGGGAACTAATAGGTTTTATAAAAAAAAATTTAATGTATTTGCTAATATATTATAAACAAATAATGTCGTATTTGCAAAAAAAAAAAAAAATTTTACTGCGATTTTTGGCACGTGACTTTTGAATGAAACAATCGTCAGTATATAGTAAGGGAAATGCACTTTGGTCCACCACTCACCATTGAACGTGGGGGGGGGGGGGGAGCATTGAATCCCATCCCGCGCGCGCTACCTAAGTCAGTCAACTGGCGCCCCCAAAAATATAAATTTCGTATTACAAAATTCTGCATTTATTTAAATGGAAATAGAAAACTAGGTAACGAAAAACCATTTACAAGTTTTCCCGCAATTGTAGCAGAAAACTTTTTTTTTTTTTTTTGTTATTTACGTGCCCCAAGAAGACCTTACGGTCTTGTCACAGAGCACCGCGGAAGTGCATTTAACCAGAAAGTTCACGCCTCCTTTCTTACCGTGACGCGAAAATATTTTCAAGGCTCGTTTCGAACCTGGATCTCTCTAACCACTGCGCCACTGCCGCACTAATTTGAAAAATAAAACAAAACAGAAACGTTTTGTTCTAATATATCTCTTTATAATGTACACATTTAATGGATTTTAAACATAGTTTTTTGTATCAAAACAACTGTGGCTTGATGTATTAAAGCAACTGTAAAAAAAAGGGAAAAAAAGTTTTTAAATAAACTGATTTCAACAATATAGAGCAATTGAGATTTGTTTTTATATAGAGTTAAAAATGTTTTTTGGCAAAAACCCGTATGGCATCCCCTCCCCACTTGAAACCTACTCGCTCCGGCCCTCTTTCAAATATGTGTATGCATCAATATCTCCAGCAGTGACAACTTTTTTTTTTTTTTGGTGTACATTTGTTAATCGTTGTACAGCCCATAATAAAAATAATAATATAAACTTACAATGGCATAAAACATAACAAACATAAACAAGGTATCTGAAAGAAGATCGCAAGGATCTTGTCGTCAGAACCTTAAAAAACCATTTAACAAATTTAAGATTAAAAAAAAAAAAAAAATTATAAACTTTTACAAAATTGCAAGGCTGTGTCTGAAGAAAGATCAAGAGGATCTTCTCATCAGATTTTAATACAGAGTAAACCAACATATAAATTAAAAAGTAAAAAGTATAAGAACAATAAATAGAATAAGTAGGAATAAACTTCTATAAACAAAAAAAAAAAAAATAGACCAAAATATATTTTTAACTTTTACTACTAATAAAAACTCAATATATTATCTAATAAAAGAATGAGGTTTTTTCAGTTTTTTTTTAAAAAGGCAAAAACTAATAAGTACTTCAAAACTAAAATTCGCCAAAACAATTTTATTCCAAAGGTTCGATTCGTTCGATAGGTAATACAAAATTGATTAAAGTTTGTTTGACAGAAAGGCTCATTTAAAAAATTATTATTTCTCAAAATATATTTACTGACAGGTTTAAAAGAGAAAAGATCTTTGAATACGGCTAGGGATAAGTTATACACAATATCATATACACAACACATAAAATATTAAATACAAATGTATTTAACTCGCAAATATTCAGAATTCTCATTTCAATAAAATAATGTTTCGAATGAGAGAAGCGATTTGCAAAATTGATTGTACGGATTGCGCGTTTCTGACGGAGATAAAGACGTTGCAACTTTTTTTTGTACTTCCCCAAGCAATACTGGCATAATTTAATTAACTATGTATAAATGAATAATAAAGTTGGATTAAGACTTTCTTATCAAGATAGATTCGTGTTTTATATAGGATGCTCATGTTTTTAGAAATTTTTGTGCTTATATAATCAATATGGTGATTCCAAGTAATGTTTTCATCAAGATAAACACCTAAAAATTTGGTAACAAAATCTCTTTTTATTTCCTTTTGATCGATTAAGATTTGGGGCAATTTTGATGGGAGAAGTCGCTTTTTTGTAATCGAATGAAATACAATCCATTTTGTTTTATTAGTATTCAAGGATAACTTTCAATCAAGTTTACAAGACGTTCGACAAGAACTTAACGAAATGAAATCTGGCTTAAACTTTGTTGGCGATGTGTTTAATGATAAAGCTAAAGCAGTTGAAGAAAAAATTAATAAAGTTCACGACGATTTAACAAATGTACTAAAAATGCAGGGTAAAATATCTTCTGACAATATCGAGTTAAAATTAAAAAACTGTGGATATCGAAGACCGTAACAAAAAAAACAATTTAAGAATTGACGGCATTGTAGAAAATAGCGAAGAAAAGGATTGGGAAATTACAAAAAAAAAGGTAAAACAACTATTTAAAAAAAACCTTGGTATTGAAAAAGATATTGTTATTGAACGAGCTCATCGAGTGGGAATAGCTAAGGAAAAACGAGAGCGAACAATTATCTTAAAACTACGTGATTACGAGGATAAGAAAACAATCATAGAAAGAGCAATAAAATTAAAAGGAACCAACATTTTTCTAAACGAAGATTTTAGTTTTACAACAAAAAATTCGAAAAGAACTTTTTGATAAAGCGAAGATACATCGTCAAAATGGCTATTACGCAAAAGTTGTTTACAACAAACTTATTGTGCATGAATTTCGAGGAAGCACCCGCAACACAGATGTTAATTCGACAAGCGTAAACGAGTAAGCATTTTGAGTATAGTTTTTTTTTTTTTTTTAAATATTATTTTAAGTATTTTTAAACTATATATTAAAAATAAAAAAATATTAAAATGGCGCCTTTTTCACAAAAACTAGATTTTAACAATTTAAATTTAGATCATTTTGAGGACAACTTTATAAATAACCTATCTCAAGAAAACAGAAATATTTTTCAAGAAATTCAAATGAACTTAATTAATACACCGTATATTGATCCTTTTGACTTTAAAGTATTAAAAGATGATTGCTCATTTTCTGTATTGCATATAAATATTAGAAGCATGCAGCAAAAGTTTGATAAACTTAAAGAATTTTTAAATATTTTAAACTACACGTTCGATGTCATATCTCTTTCAGAGACATGGCATGATACAGAAAGTTCTCTTGAATCAAATTCTAATTATATTTTACCATTTTACAAATTAATTAGTCAATCACGAGAAAGTGGGAAAAAAGGAGGAGGATTAGGAATTTATGTTTTAGAAAAATATGTTTTTAAAATAAAAAACATTATGCTTTTCAAATAATAATTATGAAAGTCTCTTCATTGAAATTATTAATAAAAAATACCGAAATATTTTAATTGGATGTGTTTATCGTCCACCGAGTGGAAAAATAAAAAACTTCGAAACTTTTATCAAAAATACAATTATGAAAATAAATAAAGAAAATAAAACATATATTACTGGTGACATAAATCTTAATGTTTTATCTAACACTAAATTTCCAAAAATAAAATCTTTTTTTGATATGCTTTTTAAGTTTAATGTCTTGTCAACTATTAATAAACCAACGCGTGTAACAAAAATTTCGGCAACAGCAATAGACAATATTTTAAATTAACAATTATTTAGAAACAACATACGAAACCGGTATATTTAAGGCAGATATAAGCAATCATTTCCCAATATTCTTAAAAATAAAAAACTATAAATCTAAGTCTGACTGTCAATCTAAAACCATACATTTGAAAAAACGAAATTTAAAAATGACTAACACTGATAAGTTAACAAGTAGGCTAAAACAAGAAACTTGGAACAACGTATATAAATGTCAAGATACTAATGAAGCTTACAATGCTTTTTTAAGTACATTTTTGGAGTATTTTAACGAAGCCTGTCCGCAAGAGATTATAAAAATTAAGTCAAAAGCTCTGACTAATCCGTGGATGGATAAATCATTATTAAAGTGCTCAAAAAAAAAGCAAAAACTTTACAATAAATTTCTGAAAAATAAAAACAATAATAATGAAAAAAATTACAAAAGTTATAAATATTTTTATCAAGATCTCATTAAAAATGCCAAAAAAAATATTACAGTAATCAAATTAACAAATGTAAATTTGATAGCAAAAAAAATGGTCCATCCTTAATGCAATAATGGGAAGAGAAAAACAAAATTCACCTTCACTACCTAAACAAATTGTTATTGATAACAACGATATATTTTGTCAAAAACTCATCTCGGATGAATTTAATAAATATTTTATTAGTATTGGTCCGAACCTTGTCAAAAAAATAAAACCAACACCTGAATCTTTTAAAAATCTTAAACCCACGAATAACGTTATAATGCATGATTACGAATTAGGCTATGACAAATTTGAGGCAGCTTTTGCCTTTTTAAAAAAAAAAAAGCACCAGGATTTGATGAGATACCTAGTGATATAATTATTGCAAACAAACACAGTCTTAATAGACCTCTGATACATATACTAAAGCTCTCGTTAAATTCTGGGATTTTTCCGGATGTACTTAAATTAGCAAAAGTAACTCCTTTATACAAATGTAATGATCATTCTGACATTACAAACTACAGACCCATATCAATACTTTCTGTATTTTCAAAACTCTTCGAACGTGTAGTTTATAATAGAATCTATGATTACTTTATTAAAAACAATTTTTTTACCCAAATCAGTTTGGCTTTCAAAAAAATCATTCAACTGAGCATGCAATTATTGAAATAGTAAATCAAATAACTAATGGTTTTGAAAATAATAAGCTTACTTTAGGAGTATTTCTTGATTTATCAAAAGCATTTGATACAGTGGATCATTGCATTCTCTTAGATAAAATAAGACATTACGGAATAGTTAATAAAACCTATTATTGGATTAAAAGCTATCTTACCAACAGAAAACAATATGTACATAATGTCCACTCTGGAGTATTAAATGTTTTGTGTGGAGTCCCGCAGGGATCAATTCTTGGTCCACTCCTTTTTCTTATATATATAAATGACTTCTGTAATGCATCCTTAAAACTGAATTCAGTCATGTTTGCAGATGACACGAATCTATTTCTTACCAACAATGATTTCAAAACATTATATGCTGACATGAATATAGAACTAGTTAAAGTGAGCAACTGGTTTAAAGCTAACAAACTCTCGCTTAATGGTGAGAAAACAAATTATAT